GCCCTCCCTCCTGGCTCCGACGAAGGCCCCTCGCCGCGCCTCTCGGCGGGCTCTCGGCTTCTGGCAGGGGGCTGGTGCTTGGCCGAAAGCTCCGGCGCTTGGCTCGTCAGCGGCGGAGGGAAGTGTGACCGCTCGTCATTTGGCGGCTTGCTCAGGGAAGGGGAGCAAGGCAGCGAGCTGGCTTCGCTTCCCTTTCTTACTTTACGCTCTTGTCAAACAGCCTCGCTCCGCAGCCGCCCGTGCTGTGAAGTGCCCCGGGAAGCCGGTTCGCAGGTAGCTCTCGATGAGGCAGCTGGCTGAAGGTTGCTTTCTTCCCGTGGTCCGCAGCAGCTCGAAGTTCGGTGTGTGTTTCAATGTCCTTTCAAAGCAGCAGAACGCTGGCACATTGAAGTCAAACGCTCTTCTATGTTAAATATAATTTAATGCTGGAGGCTGTCTTACCACGTTTAGAGCAAAGGAAATGCAGCAGGATTGTTTTTTCTTCTTGCTGCTATCTTTCTTAAATTCAGATCTGGTTAGCGAAAAAATCACATTCCCTGTTTTGTGAATGATACAGTTATCCATGTTGGAATTGTCATTTCAAATACCTCTTTCTAAGTTGGGTGGCCAAAAAGAAACCTTATATTGTTGGAAGTGCTTAAAAAATATATACATTCTAGCCTGTAAGCACAGCTATAAAGTGTCTGCATGCCATATGTAATGTCTTCTTCCATCTTCAATGATTTTCAAGGGCTTTTTAAAAAAGTCTTTAGAAAAAGACTTTTCCTATGCAGACACATTTTGAGAAATTTCCCAGTTTTTCTAATACAAGAAACAGTCCTGAGGCTCTCACAAGGAAGATGTGGTCAGCCTCTGTTGCTTTTTTTATTATTTGTGTCCCCCATACCAGAGTGTGCCATGTAAATGTGGTGGTTTGGACAGACTTATCAACCCTTGGGAAGTTTACTAAATCTCACCTGGTCAGTCACTTGGGAGCCAAAGTAATGTTTCTGGGTGCACACCTGCACTGTAGCTCCAGAATGAAAGGCTTTGAAGGCCTAGAAGCTTTAGCTCTGTCTAGACCTGATCTGTCACTTCAGAGTTTTCAGATTCTTGGAGCTGGGAAATCTTAGGAGAAGCTAAGCTTAGAAAACTTAACTGAGAAGCTTTGATAGTGACCAGGAGCTACCAACCTCAGTGACTTTTGGATGACCTGACCCTTGCATCAAGAAAGTCAGATTTTCAGAGCTGCCTTCTGTATTGCACTTTCATTTGTTATGTTTGAGGAACATCAGAACAAATAAGTTACAGTATTTGCTGGTTATTACTAAAATTGATACATCTGTTTTATCTGAACATACTTTCTTTGCATTGCATATTTCTTTTTTGGAATCAGTAAAACTGGAAAAAACAACCCATAGGGCGTGGTATGGAAACTTGAGTTATCATATGGCCAAAATGATCTAGAGTAATTAACCTCCCTTTTTTTTCTCTGACTAAAGAAACATCCTTGTTTTGGGAAACATGATGGGGAGAAAAGGTTCTGCTGTCCATCTACATGCTATTTTCTTCATATAGTGGAGAGGACAAACAGAAGGTTTGCCTGCAGGATAACTTAAGGGTATAAAAAGCAGCAGTAAGGGAGGAAAAAAAAAAAGCCTATCACTGTCAAGTTTGAGCTTGAATGGGAGAGGTTATCCTTGAGACAGGCTTGCTGTCAAGTTTGGGGAGAAGTTTAGAAAATACTTCAGCTTTTCTTACAGGCACGTTTCTTTTTTTTTCATGGAGGTATTAGTTGTTTTAGGAAGAACAGCTGGAGATTTTGTACTACTGTGATGAGTTTCATACTGTTTATTCCCATATTAAAAACAAATTAATTTGAAACAGAGATGGTAATAGAGGGATAAGTAGATTTGCGTTTATTTTGTGCTTTAAAGTCTATGTAGCAGCTTACAAACTAAAAGTAAAATAACATAAGATTTTTCTGGAGAAGGGAACTGAAGTTTATGCAAATATAGGTTTACCCTTTCATGGCAAAGCTTTGTATTTTTCTGACGTGTAACAAAGGAAATTGTAGCATCTGTAATCATAAAAGGGGAAACCAAAAGACATCAATTGACTTCTGTGCTTTTGGTTTGGACCTGAAGGTAACAAACTATTCATGATTTGGAAAAGTATGTGTGGTAGTGAAGAGTACATTGACAGAGTTAACTGAAGATCCTGACTTCTTCAGGCACCTTTCAGTGGAAAATTTGCCAAAGATCCTTCCAGTACGGAGTGACTGGGTGATTAAAAAAAAAAAAAAAAAAAATTAAATTTATTTTAAAAATATCTAGTGTAATGCATGGAGTAAAGAAAACAAATCTAATTTCACAGTAATGACCTCTGAGCTCATTTTTACCACTCAGGAACTAGATTTAGTGGTCAGATTGTGTACATTAGCTGTGAACTCAATTGATAGAAAGCAGAAATTTCTTGAAAAGGGATAGGGAGCAAAATTTAAAAAAAAAAAAAAAAGCAATTTTATGTCCAGGAGGTATGTTGAAAGTCGCAATGTATTCAGATGTGTTCCCCTAATCTCAGAAAGGAAGGATGTAGTGGTGCTGAAACAGTACAGAAAAGAAACACCTCAAAAATGTTTAAATGTATACAGTGATAGTCGTACAATGTACAGACTAGACAGACTAGAAATTTCTCTAAACGAAAACTCAGAGAACCTGATAGAAGCAATTAAATTATTAGTGAAGTCAAAAAAGTAAATAATAAATGTAAACAAATACTTGCTTACTCTCCCTTCTAATTTGAGAGCTAGGGGCATCAAATTAAACTAGCAGGTGAGTTTCTAAACAGAAGGTGTTTTTTCACATTGTACAAAGAAATGACCTTTTGTTCAGGAAGTCTCTGATCCAGAAATAGCTGAAGATGCCTACTATTCTGGTAAAGCATTGCTCTACATTGGACCTGTTCTTTGCCCATAAGCAGAGACTGGTGAGCTAAACTAACTCTTCCTTCCTTCTGAACTGTTACAGACAGATATTTTTGTTCTTCTAAAATGAATTCGGTAGGCAAGAGAAAGAGCTTGAACTGCTTACATTTTTGGCTGGTATACCAACATGGGTCAAACTTGGGGTTAGAATCCAAAAGCTGCTACTAGTTAACAAGTCATCATATGAGTTAGAGTAACTGCGTGTGAGATCTTAATCTGCATAAAGCTGAAGTTATTCAGGCTGACTTTTTCCTACTAAGAAAGGGAATTGCTGTTAGGTCCAAATGCACCCAACTGTCCAAGGCAAGATACTTCATAAGTATGTGGGAATGACCTGTGTACCACACTAAATTGAAGTCAGATTCTAAAATTTGGATTTCCATGACAGAAATATAAATCACAGCTATGCTAGCTCTAATGACTGTTGAATCAGAAATGTATTCTAAGATTTTTTTTCCAGTTCCAAGGATAGATGTAACTTCAAGTAGCTGTTTCACATGGCATGTTTGCTCAATCTGTTTCCCCAATATTGCTGTTCTGCTGTAGCACTGGTGTTGATGAGCGTAATTTATCTGTCACTGTCTCTAAAGAGTAGCTCTGAACAAGATTAAATGACATAATGCAAGCATTGCCAACTTGTAGGTCTTCAATGCAGCTTTTACAGTATAGGTGTCTATGTCAGGGCTGAATTATGTAATCATCCTTGAGACTGATGTCTCCCCAAAACACAAGCCTTTGCCATAGGTATCACTTACTTGTTCTAGAAATTTTGTACTTCGATGCTGAGCCTCTATATAAGCATACTAGAGGCTCATAATATTCTGTGGTAGACCAGGGTCTGTCCTGATGCTAGTAAAATTTTGGTAAGTGTGCTGCTTGTTTTTTGGTATACTTTCATGATAAATATTCCATTGGAAAAATACTTGTTGAAATAAGAACATGGAGCACTAAGATCAATTCCTGACACTTCAGAAAAAGCACTTTATGATAGTGAAATCTTGATGCAATAGAGGAGGAATTTAATAGCAGATATGTCAAGCAAAGAATAAAAAGGGAACAGTTTCTTTGATATGACATAGGAAAGCCCAAATGAAAGACCTTATGAACATTCTGATTATAGACATTACAGTCATGAATTCTTTTTTACAGAAGAGATGAGATAAAATAACAGTTGCAGAAGTCATTTATCACTGGCAGTCCTGTATATTGTTTAATGAAGATCAATAACATCTGGGTTAAATTAAACTGAATACATTAATACACTAGCCACGTAAATAATATTGTTACCTTTAAAAAAAAAAATCCTGACCCTTTAGAAAACTTCAGTTTGTCTAATCCAAAAATTGAGTTAAACTTGCAGGGAGGGGTAGCATGATAGACTAGAAAGAAGATTGAAAAGGTCAGGAAAAACAGTAGAACTAGTTTGAATGTATTTAAAGTTAATTTTTTGTTAGAAGAAAAATGTTCTGGACTCCAAATAATCTCTTTGACAAAATTCTAAGATCTTGGGATGGATTGTGAGCTATTGAAAAAGAACCCTGTAATTTGATGTAAAGTGATGTAAAATGAGTTAACAAAAAGTCTTACATGAAGTACTATAAGCATATATGCCATAAAAACATTTTCCCGGCTATGGTTTCGCAATCCAGTTGGGCAAAAGGAGCAGCATCATTTTTGTTCTCTTCCCTTCCCCCATCTGTGCTATTAATTCTTTTGTTGGCATTAGTGCTGTGATACTCATTCACTTGAGTCAGCTGTCTAACAAGGTGAAAGTGCGTTGGGGTTTTTTTGTTGTTTATTTTTGAGATGTTAACAGGGTTTTGCTGTTGAAGTGTATGAGTGACCTTACTGTGAAAACCAGATGAATCCCAGAGGTAACTAAAAGTAGATAGCAGGATGAACAGAGTAAGGTTGGAAATGGAAGGAGAACCTCCATTTTTGGCAGTGTCATACTGCTAATCCAATTCAGGCTGTATTCTTAAAAAGCATATTCTAAAATTCCTTATCTAAAATTATCACAGCAGTAACAAATAGTGTGTTGTGACAATGGAGCTATATGTTAATGCACGTTAACAGTAGTAAAGAACATTGGTAGCAAACTAAGGTGAGATACTTTATAAGTATTTTAAAAGGACCTCTGTGTATCCCAGTGAATTAAAGTAAGATTCTAAAATGTAGAGGTCAATGACAGAAATACAAAATCGCAGCTATGCAATGTCTAATGGCTGTTGAATCAGAAATTTATTCTAAGATTTTACAGTTTAGTGTTGTCAGTTTTATGCATAATCTTGTTCCACATAATTCTGTGGTAACCTAAATTTTGTTAATCCTTTTCTCTGGCTGTCTTGTGTTTAATGTTGAACAGGAATTAAAGTTATAAATAACATAATCAGGCATTCCATTATACTGATTTTCTTCCCCCTACTTGCTGGGCTCAAATCTTGCTTTGACCTATTGGTCTTGTTTTGAACTTAGTCCTGGAATTCTACATGAAGTGTCACGCAGCTGTGACATTGTACTAACAGGCTGCCAGCAGTCAACTTGCTGGTTGAGGTACGTCCTTAATGCTATGCTGGTTTTTGTTTACATAGTTCAGAAAATAAATTAGAATATTAGATGTGTAAAGTTGCAAAGCATCATTGTTTTGAGTTTAATTTGCCAAACTATTTAGTCAATGTATTGGCTAACTAAACACAAAGTGTTTGGTCTGAAGGTGGTAAATAAGCTAGTAAATGAAACCTGTATTCTGAACATAAGCTGTACTTCTATCCTATCCCATTTTGACCTTTACTCTTCTGCTGCTGCATTATTCTACTCTCATGGCTTCTGCTTTTTTTCTTCTATTTTCTGTGCTATTTCTATCAGACTTGTCAAAACATGATAGTTCTGAAATAATGTAACCAGAATTTCCATTTCATGGGATTTATTTGGGTTAGGAACACAATGAAGTTCAAAAGTAAGATGTTTTGTAAAATATGTGAGTCCTTGGTGGTAAAACCTCAGAACCTGACACACGTTCTCAAATGCAGAAATGTTTTTTGCTCATCCCTATAAAGGGCTGTTATTTATGCAGTCAGGGTATGCATCACATTTGTCTCATATTATTTCTATTATGTAGAAACTTTATGAAGCATTTTATACTGTTGAATTAGGTAATAAGAAATCTGACTTTAAAATATTTGTCTTTTGATCAGTTGCGGCCAAAATTCTTCTGTTTGGATTCTGAACTATGACATCATGGCAAGATTTCGCAGAAGAACATGCATCATTTTGTTGCTTTTTATTTTGTTTATTTGCTCCATAATGATGGCTTTGAAGACTCTGCGACCTGACAGAGCTGGCTTTGGGGATCCATTTGGACTTGGTTTGTTGCCCGAGCTTCAACAACGGACAGTGCTCTTAGACAATAAACAGAATTCACTAAATAGGGTTCAAGGAGATACTGTAACGCGTGTCAGTAATTTGCATAGTATCGCAGTCAATACTATGAAAGCATCTATGCCTCCTGTAAACAAGCTGGAAGAAGAGCTGTCTTCTCCTAATTATAACTTTCACATATTCTACTATAGTTGGTTTGGGAATCCACAGTTTGATGGTAAATATATTCACTGGAACCATCCATTGTTGCCACATTGGGATCCCAAAATTGCAAACAATTATCCAAAGGGAAGGCATAATCCTCCTGAGGACATTGGGGCCAACTTTTATCCTGAACTTGGATCTTACAGTTCCAAAGACCCTTCTGTCATAGAAGCCCACATGAAACAAATGCGTTCAGCTTCAACTGGTAATGCATGTTAACGTTTCAGCATGTTGTTCATTTATCCAGCCTTAAATATGTGAACAAACACAACTGGCCCATTCTTCCATTTTTCTGTGTAATTCTGGAAATGTCTGAAACTAGTAAATGTCTTTGTATTTCTGAGTTTTAATCCCCAGCCGAAACCTACCTCTTCAAAGCTGTGTCTGATGAGTGTAACAGCACAGAAATGTAAGAACTATATTTGTAATCCCCTAGGTGCACGTGTTTCATGACTTACTGTTAAGCACTGATAACTATGTAGAAAATACAGAAACCATTGTGAGAATATATTGTCTGTGTATTTTATTTTTGGAGATGAATGCTTCAGTTTTTAAGAACAGGTTTCAGTAAATCATGTTAACATGATTATGGAGCAGTCCATTCAAATAGTGGGTTTTTTTCTGAATTCTTTGTGTGTAATAACAATTATGAATTAATTCATATGTCAAAGAGCATGTAGGATTATAGCTTTTATACAATTTATATTTTATGCACTGTATTTATGGGTGTTCCCATTAGGTATGGAAATGCCTTCTTGAACTCAGGTGCAATAGTTTCAGTGTAGCTAATTATAGTTTATTTCTTTGTCCAAAAGTATCTTTTTTCCAATACAAATTGATGTTCCCTTTCTCTAAATAAGATGGACTATATACATAAGAATATTCAATACATTTTTGGTGTCATTCTTTGTTGTTGGGCTTTACAGTCCTTTTTATGTTCTTCTTTAAAATAAGCAGTCATAATAGGCTAATATTAAACTCTGAACAGCTTCTGTAAATGTTCAGCAAAATGAGGAGAGCTCATAGTGTTATTCAGAGTGCTAATCACCTTGAATTGAATCACTTTTATTCACATAATCATTAAGGTTTGATGTAATTGTTATATTCCCATTAGTAGTGTTTACCTGTATCATGTTGACTTCTTGGTTATTGTTTTCTCCTGTTTTTTAACCTAACCTGTATTTTATACAAGGCTTAATACAAACATAGGAAATTGCTCACCCTTTTTGGTAATACAATAATTCCATTAACAGGAACACCAGCAACAGTGGGAAAACTGTTGCAGAGAAATCTCAGGTATTAGTTGCCAGTAAGCACTTTTTTAGTCTTATCTAAAGCAAAATAATGCATGATGGAGTGATGAAAGCAGAGAGGGTACTTGTAGCTTTAGAAGAATCTTGTGAGGTTTCTCATCCTCTTAATACAAATGTCTAATAAAGCTGAACTGCTGGTGGAAAAGGCACCAAATACTAGGAAAAATACTTTGCAAAATAAGGGTTTTTAGTAGCTTAAGTTAGTTTTCCATTTAAAACTTAGCAATGTGACCGAGTAGTTCATGCTTCCTGTGACATATTCTTTGTAACGTGTTACTTATATTTGTCAATAAGTGATTTTTTTTTCCTGCTGTTACTCTGACTTAAGGATTTAAGTACACTTGAATTTGTTTTCTTCTGTCTAGATTTGACCAACATAAATCATCAACTTTTTTTCCTCAGGTCATTACTTCAAATATTGCATCTTTTTTTAATAAGAATTATACTTTGTTCATTTTTTGTGTACTGTGAGGGTGACTATTTACAGTTTCTTCTTTTTGTCTCTTAGCCAATGTCTAATCCATGACTGCATTTTACATTCTGGTAAATAATAATTTTTCTTCTAGCCTTTTTTGAGGCTTTATCAAGGATCTTACAAAAGGAGAAAAATGTAAGTGATTCTTTCAGCCAGTATTGTGTAATGATCAAAGGCATGTAAGAGATTGGAGCAGCAGGAGTCTCATGCAGTACTTTCTTATATTCTTCTTATATTTTACAATTCTTTCCTTACTTATTTATTTCCTAATTTTTAACAGATTAATAAAATAGATTTTATTCCTCAGGTTGCTTGGTGAAATTTATTTTTTTGCACCAGCCTATTTTTGTGGAAGTCCAGTTTGGAAGTCCTTCATTTGTCTTGAATGACTCTACCCTGGTTTTAAACATGCTTATGCTATTGGTTTTGGCATCGAGTCCATCCTTTTTATACTCCTGAAGTGGTACATAACTTTATTTTGTAACCACAGGAAAGAAAATATTAAGTAGTCTTCCTCAGGGAATGACCAATGCAAATGTGAATTTAGGTTCCTTGATGAACAATTCTGTCTCCTGAACTTTTCCATTTCCTAAAGGTATAGAAGAGGGTCTTGACAGATGTTGTACTCAAGATGCCTTGAGTGTAACTTGAGTTCATTGCTGCTGTTCTACTTGTCCTTTACACATCTTGCTCATTTGAATTCTGTCCTTTTGTGTGAAATAAAACATACGGTGATAAAATGCAGTAAACTATTGCATTTTTCTTGTCCTTGAGCAGACTATCTCTTGTGATAGTCTGTTATTTGTATTTTTTTTTATAAAATCTGGAGCATATATGCTGAGGGTAGTTGAACTAACTTCTATCTATAGTGAGCTCAAATTTCTGGTTTTGGTGTTAGAAGATGACTGTATATTGACTCTGATTTATGCTTTCTTTTTCATAATTTTGGACTTGTTTGTTTGGAAATTGTTAGTCAGGAATATTATAATGTTGGTAACATGGATGGAATTTAGAGTATATACTTCCCTATTTCAGTGACCTGATTCGTGTACTTTAATCTTTAACTAGTTAAAAAGACATTGACTTATTCTTCCATATGTTTTAAATAGTATTGTTAGGAAAATACTCCTACAACAGTATTTCATGTATTTCTTTCTGTCTTGTCTGCGTCCTGATATTATTTCCAGCTACACACCTAAAAGTTCTAATTTATTTATCTGACAGCATTTAATTTTAGAAGGAAGGGATTTAGCCTTTCTGAAGTGGTATGTGTTCTTGTGCTTTCATGGAGAGCATCAGGAAAATTTACAGTATAGGGACATTGTATTTGTTGTCATCTTTTTTGACAAGAATAGTAACGTCCTTAAATTATTGAGAGTTACTCAAGCATTTTTTTAGGTAATAAATTTAAAACCTAATTTCACATGGTTGGAAGGGTGGATTACACCATAGTAACTGCTTTTAGCAAGAAGGAAGGTTGTGGGATTACAGTCACTGCTTTTAGTATGAAATGATTGATTTGTAGTAGTGCCAGAGGTACAATGCAGAAATATGGTGGGGAATAAAGTTTCATAAAGTAAGAATCTCTTTCATCACATGCATAGCACTCATCTCTTAAGTGTTCTCTAACCCTATGTATCTTGATATTCTCTGGCTGTACTGTGGCACTGCTGTAATGCCTTAGTTGGGAACATTCTCCTTCTCTTGGTACAACCTGGAGGTTAGGAGGCTGTGCTGAAAAGTGGGAAGTAATGGCTGTAAGTGTCAGGCTTGGAACACTGAGCACAAACCTGTTCCCCTGACAGATGATCTTACCACTGTTTGTTTTGTTGTCCTTTAAATGAAGAGAAAAGTTAAAATCCACTCTGAGAATACTGAGATTTTGCAATTGGTTAAAAAGTAATTTGAAGTTCTCATTTATATTATGTAGATTTCACATGAAACAATAATTATAACTCATGACAATGTTGTTTAACATATAAAGTGTATGTTATAACATGATTTAAAACTTAAGTTTTGTATTTTCAGGTGTAATAGTGCTTTCATGGTACCCACCAGGTATGGCTGATGAAAATGGAGAACCAACTGATGATTTGGTGCCTGTTATTTTGGATTATGCACACAAATATAATCTGAAGGTAAAGTATTTTTAAGATGCATAAAATAGGACTACTTAGGACAGTAAAGCTTGTTAACAGTTTACTACATTCGACTTGCAGTGTAGAGCAGAGAGGCTTGTCACGTAGTGGTGGCTTCTGTTTCTGTCTTCTATTATGCTGCACTTCTTTGGGGTCATAGAAGCAGATATAATTGCCCTTTGAATTGCACTGTATTTTGATAAGACCTAAGCAATATTGCCTTACAACTAAAATAAATATCACAATCTGCCTTTTTTCTGTTTTGGTTCAGATCTAAAGCTTACAGAATCTAAGGTATGGTGTTATGGATTTATTTTATTTTTTTTTTAGGAAACAGTTTTTAAAATTAGACATGTTGTTTTCAAATGAGTCTTCAGAGTTGAGAGAAGTATTACATATTTGAAAATATTTGGAATACAATGATCTATAAACGAAGGAACTTTGAGAAAGAAGAAAGACTAACCTCATTTTTTGCATTACCACATAACTTGCTGGCGCCTGATCATAGAGGTCAGGAGCAAGCATCTGTGAGTAATAAAGAGGATCTAGACTTTCTAGTTTGAATGAATGTCTTTATTCCAGAAGGTGTCAGGAACACTTGCCTTGGACAGTAAGGTCAAAGAGGTGCTGCTCTGACTAGGGTTTTCCAGGGCGTGACAGGATAGAAAGGCTAAATTACTGGCTTCCTGAAATAGGTGAAATATCAAATCAATTAAAGATTACATGGATTGATCAGTAAAATCTAAAATTGTGGTTTGATTTTGTTTAATTTTAGAGTAAAACTTGTATTTTCCCTTAGTATAAAGCATTGCCTTTTAGTCTTGCTGAGTAGTAAATTTGAGTTTTTAAATTATCTAAGTTGTATATGTTTCATATCTGGAGGGTGTTGTCTGTACTGGGGACTAAAAATACAGCCTGTTCATCTGCTCTGGTTTTAGTTGGTCATGCAAGTTGCAGATTCTCAGAGAAATTCCTTGTCACTAGTAACAACTGTAGATTTTGACAAGCAGGAGGAAGGTAGAAAGGTTAAATCAGATACAGAAGTAATTTTGAAACTGTTAAAAATGCTGTATGAATTACATTATGTGGCATAAGTTGCACATATGTAATAGTAAATTATTAAAAAGAAAAAAAAAAGTATTATCCTTCCCCCAGATTTTCAGATCATGTGATGGAGCTTGCTCTCACCTAAAAGAACTTGTTAACATTCAAGTCTCTAAAAGGAGCCAAGGCAAAATGAAATAAGCTACCAAGGAAGATGCATGTAATAGTATGGTAATGGTTGGAATATGGATGGAACTGCTGTTATTGCTTGGAATAATTACTGGAATATAGATATGAAGTATAGGTACTACCAGGGAATGCTACCTTCACAGTAATGTTTTTAAACATTCTTGCGCTAGTAAGTTAGTACAGTTAAGCGTTAGGAATGTCGGTAGACCAAAACCAACATACAAAATACATTTTTATTATGTCTGCTAAATACAAGTCTGCTAAAATATATGTCCTTTTGATTTGCCTGATTTTGATAGTTGGACATGAAATATGAAATTATAGTGCTCTTCAACCTATCCTGTCAGTCCTAGTGATTTAGTCTAAACTGTATTTTCCTGTAGTTTATACCTAATAGAGATAGATACTGGCTCTACAATGGAAATTTACTACTCTTGCCGAGTTGTTGAAGACTTTATTAAATGCATTCTGCTCTAAAATTGCTTCTGAAAAACTAGTTGCTTCGATTAATGTAATATACTCTTCCACTTAATTGTATATATGAAAACAATAGCATTTTTATATTGAAATTACTTCACATGTATAGGTTAAATAATACCATAAGCTCCAAGCTTGAAATTCAGAGCAGTGGCAGCACATTATATTAGATTGAGTTCCAAAAGTTTACTGCTGTTGATAAATCTATAAAATTTTAAAGTTTTCATATCCCGTATCTTAAAATCTATTTTGACATTGAAAACTCTCCTTGGAGAATTGTCTATCGCAAATTTAATACATTGTTTAGAAATTAAATTTTAAAATGTTTCATTGGATAATCAGTGCTTTGACACTTGAATAGGTATTATTTTATTTCAATTTTTAGTTTCTGCTGTAGTTCTTTAAGTTTTCTGAAGCATGCTTATTACTTGCTGTAGCCTAGGAAAAACAAAAGCAGTGTTTTGTTTTAATGTACAAAACTAAATATTTACTCTATTATCAAACTTCTTTGGATCTGAAGCTTCTAATCTTAGCAGTGCAGGAGTTGAATTAGGGTTGGATTATTCTCAAAATAGACTAACAAAAATGTTTGCTCTGTAAAGAGGAACTATATTTAATGCGACTGGTACTCGCTTCATATAATACACGGTACCCGTGTATTCAATAGTATTTTACGTTTGTGTTGCTCTTACTAGTTTTTCATCTTTCAGGTGACTTTTCATATTGAACCTTACAAAGATAGAGATGATCGCAGTATGTACCACAATGTCAAATACATCATAGACAAGTGAGTGCTTTCAGAATGGTTTCCTCTGGGGTTCGTTGCATGCTGTTTTAGGGGACTTCTGTATATTATCTAAAGCTTGGAAGAATATGTAAAAACATGCACCAAGACTGAAGAAAACTATAAGAAACTTTGTTCATATTTCAGTGGTACAAAACTCAGTCTGTTTTTTAAATACTGAAGTGTGAATTTTACATAGATACTCAAATGTCAATTGCTTTCAACATTCATTAGTATCACAAGTCATGATACTTCAGATTAAAGCAGTTAAAGTATTAGCTACATGATATATAAATTAAACGTACGTTTTTTATAGTGACAAATTAGCAGGTAGAGTTTTAATGTGTTGACCTCTAATAATTTGTCAAGCTGAATTAAAATCTTGTACAGCTACTAGTTGTTTTGTTTACCAATGCTACTTAGACTGTCTTATTTCATACTGAATTAGAGAATTGCCCTTCAGAGAAAACCAATACCTATAGTGCAGTTCGACACTAAGTTACTAATCTGTAGTAATTTAAAGGTTCTTTGCAGATTTCTTTATTTAATATTTCAGCAAATACTGGACTGAAAATGGATATGAACTGCTATGTTTTGAAGCACATGCACTATCTTTTTAAATTAGTGTTTTAAGAAAAGTCTTCAGCTCAGATTGTGAAACAGTATTTTCCAAATGGCAAATTTTGTCTTAATGATGCTTGCTTGCTTTATAGATATGGAGGCCATCCAGCCTTTTACAGGCATAAGACCAGCACGGGCAGATTTCTTCCAATGTTTTATGTTTATGATTCTTATGTAACAATTCCTGAAATATGGGCGAATCTGTTAACTGTTTCTGGATCCCAGACTATTCGAAATACTCCGTATGATGCGTTATTCATTGCACTTCTTGTAGAAGAAAGACATAAGCATGACATTCACAGAAGCGGCTTTGATGGAATGTACACATACTTTGCCACCAATGGCTTCTCCTATGGTTCATCTCATCATAATTGGGCAAGTTTAAAAGCCTTTTGTGATAGTAACAACTTAATGTTTATTCCAAGTGTGGGGCCAGGGTATATTGATACCAGTATCCGACCATGGAACAACCACAACACCCGTAATCGTGTCAATGGGAAGTACTATGAGACTGCCTTCAGTGCAGCCCTTTTGGTGCGACCAGAAATCATTTCTATTACATCTTTTAATGAATGGCATGAGGGAACTCAGATTGAAAAAGCTGTCCCCAAACGGACTGGACAGGTGGTTTACCTTGATTATAAGCCGCATAAACCAAATGTTTACCTAGAGCTTACTCAGAAGTGGTCTGAGAAGTACAGAAAAGAACAAGAACAGTGGCTTATGTGAGCTGTTGCTGCTGCAGTTGTTTCCTAATGCATTGACTACACTGAGAAAGAAATTGAGAGCTGAAAAATCTGTTATTAAATGTCTTTATTAGAGATATGTTCAAATTATATCTTTTGAATGTATATGCACTACTACTGAATTTGAATTTTGAAGAGTAAAAAGATGATGAGAATATTGGCATCTCATCTCATTGACGTTGTAGTTCAAGAATATTCAGGGAAAATGCTGGGGGTTTGTTTGGTTGGTTGGCTGTTTTTTTTTTAAACTTCGTAACTTGCATGCTGAGCTTCCAGAACACGTGCATGGGATAACTCTACATGACCAAAGTAGAACAAAAATTTGGCATAGTTATGCTTACTTCCTTTATTCTTGCAGTTGTGTTTCTAATCAAAGTGTTCCTGTAATCTGAATGCTTATCCTGATAGCTTCTTGCAGGATGCATGTCTGTAGTGTGTGGAATAATCTACATCTACTGTTTTTAACGCTTTGCACACAGGGAGTTCTTGACATGTGACTACCTTGTGGTAAAAACTGAAGAGGTATATGATGCATCACTAGTAGTTTTTGTTAAAATAATAAAAAAAAGTATTTGAAAGATTGAGTTCCAAAGAACTGCTGAAAGATTTCTACTTTACTTCGATTTTTTATGTTTGGTACACAGTGCAGACTTTTGCAGATTACTGGATACTGACGAGTAACATAGGTTTTTTTTCTATGTTACTTCAAATTTTTAAAAAAAATTGTTTGAAACTGCAAGTGGAAAAGATTTTTTTGAGGGGGAGGGAAAACCCTAAACTTGCAAAAAATATACTAAAATTTCCATTGTTATATCTTGTCTGCTAATTGACTGCAGGCACAGATCTAGTGTGTTTTTTAAAATGTTTAAAGATTATAAAGCTAATATCTTACTAGTCCTACAGTAAATATAATTTTAGGAAATGCTTTTTTGTTTCTGATTTAGGAGCAGTCTAGTTTGGTAGGAATAACAGCAACTACCCATTAGTTTAATTTGAAATCTGAGATTTCTATTTTTCATACAGTTCATCTAGTTGTTTCAGGATTCAGAATAGTAGATACTAAAATGTTATTATCATTGAGATAAGCTCCCTACCAACCCTACCTTTATACTGTGGTGTTGCTGGAAATGAGTATTTTCAGGCTTAAGAATCTCACCTTTCAAATGCTGTGATTATTAACTGTTTTTCTTGATGAAGCTTGAAAGGATCGAGTCACATGGACGTGTTTCCTCAGCAATCCTTTTTTTTGCATTTTCATACAACTTCATAGAAAAGTCCTGAACTTTGGAATGTTAGAAATGGCAGTGTTTTGTTTATTTGCAGCAAGTGTTTAATCTGTAGCAAAGTGGCTTTTTTTTAGTTGTTTTTTATATTTATATACAAGGTGCTGATCCTGTGTTTTAGTTCATATGCTGGAACCATTGTGACCACTAGAATTCCATTGATTTCAGCAGGACCCATGGAAATTACACTCTTTACTGAGTTCTCACAGTAATCTGTCCATGAAGTTGTAAGGTGAATGTGAGGACTTCCAGTTAAAGAAAGACAAACCAAAATAGTATGGTTTTTTCCAGAAACCTTTGTCATTCCAAATAAGCATAAACCAGTTACTACTAATATTTTCTAGAGTCTTTCTGGTATGAAAAAGGTTTGTTTCTGTATCTTTCACTTATTTACAGTTTAATTCTCTTGTGATTTATCCACAGTTGTTAGAGATGAAGTGTCATATAATGCCCTGAGCAGCTTGAAAAAAATGCAGAAATTGGCTGAGAGATATATAGCCTGGTGTGTTGAAGTGCTCCTCTAGAGTTGTTGGAGTCTTATTAATATCTCTTCATAATTTTTTGCATTTTCCTACTGCATTTCTGTGAAATTCTGAAAGAAATGTTTACTAAAGCTTATTTTGTTTTACTTACACTCAGGTGGATAAACTGAAGTAGATATAGGTATGACCACAGTCTGAAGACCACAGTGTCTGAGACATGTGAAGCACTTGCTAGACCTTTACCACTTCCAAGTTAACCACTCACTCCCTTTATTAAGGAAACTGATTTATACATTTTACTATAAATCCCTTAAATAGCTATACATAATTTGTTTTTATAATTTGTTATATGTTTATGATTTTACAGCCCAAAGAGCCTATATATTTATTTTAAATGTGAGGGAATTATTAAATTTTTGCATATATTATTAAAAATCTTCTGAAATCAAACCTTTTGAAAGGACAAGTCTCTTGGCTTAAACTGTTGTCATCCACTGGTCTTTTCTCACTGTAGTTGTCTGAGCACTTTACTAGTCTTGACAACCTTGCACTCAGCTTTCAGCTCCTTACTTTCTCCCAGTGGCAATTTATTTTCTCCATGACTTTGAAAGATGCTCCTTTTGTTGCTGTTTATAGAAACTTCTGAAATTTGTTGTAGAGTGTTGTACGACTCAAGTGAGCTATTTTGTTTAAAATATAATCTATGTTAACAGTGTAGTGGATCTTCATTACTCTGAAAGACTTCTGTAATTGCTGTAAAGGTATCATTTAGTTCTTGCCATGAAGTTGTATGGGCCATCACACACTGGTGTCTAGTGGTATCTTTATAAGAATTTACAGAATTTCTGTAGAAAAGAATGAAAATTAAATGCTTAGAAATTCATCGCCCCTGAGCACTTACTGTATTTTTATGTGCTTAATGTGATTTAAAATATAAATATGCAACTCGGTAAAATATTTCAGAGTTCAGAATTTAATTTGATGATCCTAAGAAGAGCTGATGGAATAGCAGCTACTAGAACTACCCTACCGACCTGCCCAATACTTTCTCTTTACTTAGAAGAAATATTAGTGCTACTTCTTGTTATAGGGGATGGAGAGTTTTGCTGATGGACTGCTGATGCAGTCATGATAGTTTTTGGAAATTTGATTAAATATAGGTCTGTGGGAGAGGATTTGTACAAATGCAAAGGAATAAGATTGTTATAACTGCACAATTATTAGGGTGAAGAAGGGACAAGGTGAGTGTATTTAGGTGATTGCTCCAAGCTTCAGAGTTACAGTAACAAAAAAAAACAAAACAAAAAAAAAGACTCCAACATGCAACCAAAATTGGGAGGGAGGGAAGAATATTTGTTATGAGTTTGAGATCTGAAATGGAATTTAAGTAGTATCTACATCCTATTTCACTTTGGCTTCACACCCTTATTATTTCTTGGCTAATTGAAAAAAAATATAATGGTTATTTTTAATATTTTTACACTGATTAATTGCATTTGACTCATCTTGTCATAGTACATTATAGTACGTAGAGTGATACACTACATCTATATAGATTAGGCAAGAAACACTATGGGAAGTGTTAATAGAGATCATGCCATGCTACGCCTCTGCAAATATGGAAATACCTGAAGTTATTGATCACATACTACTGACTGAGTATCCTCAGAGAGGAAATGGTTTCTGAGACAAGTAGAAAGTCTTTGTGGTAAGAGATCTTCTTTTTAAAAGAAAATCTGTAGGTTCATTTCTGCTTCTGTCAGTTGTGATCAAGTAAATTGTTTTAGTTCTGTGAGCTGTCTCAGAACTGAAGCTTAATACCTCTTCTCTGAAATAAGAATTTGTATTAAATCTTGTATAGTAGTGCATGTTTCTCAGATCTATAAACTTGTACTGAATTTTGAAGGAAAGAACACATGCATATGCTGTTACTATTTCAGTGTCAAGCTGTAGATTATTGTGAATGTAGTTTCTGTACTGACGTTCATTGTGTTTGTCTAGTGCCTTTCTTTTGAGGTGCCAATGATTTGTCTCTTAAGAGGTTGTTGAAGCAGAAGGGTCTTTGGTGAACACACTTTTATTTTGAAATTTGATATGTATACACTCTGCATAGTTTGAATTAACACATTTTACACATGGCTCTTGGGCTTTCTTGAAAACATTTCACAGGAGTGTTTTCAGCACTGTGTTGCTAGTAGGAGAATGTAACTGGGCACATGGACGAGGACATACTGTAATTTGGGGCACTTTTTTTTGTGAATCTTGTGTACCTAAAAAGAAGAAAGAAAGTATTTACAGACAAATTATTTACCACTTAATGTAAGCTGAAAATCTCTCTCCCAGTCTTAAGGTATTTTACAGGTATTGATCCTCATCTTTCTATTTGCTTAAGATAGTGTCAATATTTCATTTCTTTTTTATCTTTTACTTTTGACCAGCATGTTAAATGTTGCATAAACTTCTAAAGTGATGGTATTTCTAAGACTTCATAGTTGTAATATTCAGTAAAGAGAATCTACAAGATTATTGGCACTGCAGAAAAGCCTGATATGAATTTGATATTGTATAGATATGATTTTGTTGTAAATGGATAGTGTGTCTTTGCTATGTATTGAACATGAATAAAAAAAAGTACATTTCTTTTAATACCCTACCTGGCTGTGGCAGAGATGCATTTGCTTACATGCATATATAAAACCAAGTATGTGTGTGTGTGTATGTCTATTGATATATATGTGCATATAACTGAAGTCATTATTTTTAAAGTACTATATCATTGTATTAAAATTACAGGCTGGATTCTGCTACTTTTAAGTAAGCAATCTTTTTAATTCCCTATGATGTTTACAAAAAACATAGTTGCTCATGTATGAATACTTTCATGAACAATAAATATATGCCCAGAAAGTATGATTTAAATGGAGTGTGTGGTAATATTTTTTTAATAATACGAGTTTAGAAAGTGAATTTTTAGTTTTCTATTACAATGTGTGTAGAATTTAATTAGACTGAAAACAACAGGCTTATCACAATGTTTTTAAACAGACAATACTTATGAAGTTTTTAGGCCTATTTGTATTACATGTTATTAGGCTACTAAGTGAGTTCATTAGTGCATAGTATTGCAGGTATCTTTGAGTCCTGAGGTATGACTGTATTTTGACAAATTAAAACTAAAATTTACATTTCATACAGAAGTTTATGAGGGATAGGTGCACAAATGATTAGCCTCACAGGAGAATGGTTTACAACTGAATACTACAGTGGGGTCAAAGAAGTATTTGTTGCATTCTGATAGTATATTGTGCTGTTCAGGTATAAAAACTCTAGAAGGTAACAGTTGCCATTTTACTTAAATTTCACAGAAATGTGAAATTACCTTTTTGGTATTTGAAAAATACGTCTCGTTATTCCCAGCAAGTGAACTACATTGGTAAGGAAGCGATTAAAGCTAATTCACACATGTGGTCAGTACTGTGTATCTCTGTACGTGAATCAAAAGTATTTTAAATTGTTGAATAATTTCATCATTTCGTATTTCCTTTGTGTATCACATTGTAAGTGACTCTTCCCTGTAGTTAAGGTAGAGTATTTTGCTCCATGATGCAAATGGTTTCCTGAAAATTTCCTGTCTCAGGAAATGCAAAAGGTAATCAACACAAGGTGTACTTGAAATTTGAACTTAGGTATGTACCTGTAATTGACACTTTAGTAGTAGACTGTGAAGTACTTTTGTATTTTAGTAGATAAAATATCTCCTAGGGTATTTCATATCACTTCATCTGAATTTAGTAGAAAGAAGAAAGAGATAACAATGAAACAGTATTTATTGCCTTTTTTGTTTATCTAATCTGATCAATTTCTATACAGTATATGGAATGTATATTCAATAAATTCTTTGTGTGAAAGACAAGGAAGAAAGACTATGTTCATGTTTGTTTTCTTCAGCTTGGCAGTGTAGATAGAGGAAACAGTAATACAACAAAAAGCACCTACAGCTTTCATTTTTTAAACTTCATTTAGAAGTTAGTCACATTTAGAAAAACACTGTGAAAATAATGGAATATCCAGAAGTTTAATACAATCAAAATTTGAAAAATTAATTCCCTGACCTACTTTACTGGTAGATTGGGCGTAAAAATATCTTGTGCCTATCATAATTGTTTCAGTATTTTACAAATAGAAAGGTACAGTCTGTTACGCTGGAGTCAAGAAAGAAGATACTTATGTTATACAGTGTGGTGATCTTATTGAAAGTAATGAGAAATCTTTTCTTTATATCAAAGCTGGCTTTAGCACATTCAAAAATGGAGACTTTTTTAAAACAAATTCTGATCTTAGAATATATGTATGCAAATGTATGCACACTTTTTTTTTTCCATTTCTCTGTGAAAAATATGACTACCCTTGTATAACAGAGGAAATCTAGTGCAGTTTTAAGCAGTTCCCAGATCTGTGCCTGTCATTGTTCGTGGAGTCATCCAGAATGGTTCTCTTGATCCTATCAGTTAAATAGTGTGGATAGTCAGAAGTAATCAGAGTATTCAAGTTCACTTCCTACAATCTTTTATCTAAAAGTATGGGTATAAATTTACTGAACTTTTCATAATTAGAGAATTTTGATAATAATTTCAACATAGATTATAACAACTGCTTTCAACATAAAGTAGCAAAATTGTATATTGACTGACTAAAAATCCATGTTGGAGAAAACTAAATCAATTTTATTAGATAATGTTGATATCTGCTGTTGTATTCAGAACTGACCTGCCACTTTTAAAAAATAAGTTTTGTTTTTAAATTGCATGTCATCTCTACTTAGAATATATGAAAGTCACATTTTTTAGTTAGATGTTTTTTAAAACTTTAAAGAGGTGTGTTGCTAGCTCTGCGTAGAGCTAACAAAGTAACAGGTGGTTTGTTGTTTTTCTCTTTTTTTAATGCATTGAAATGAGCCCTATGCATCTGAGAGCAGGACCTGGCCTTCAGAGTAGGTTTTATAACTTGAAGTCATTGCTATGGAAACACAGCATGATCCCTCAAGACCGATTTCTCAAACTGTAGTGTGATTCAACAAATAAAAGAACAAACCAGAACTCCAGTTGTTTTTAGAATACTAGTGAAAAATTAGGCTGCCAGTTTGTTGTGATTTTAACGGAAGTTTCTTGGAAAAGTCTCATGTACTATGGTAGAAAATACTTTTAACAAGTAGTCAATCTTAGCTTTATGATAAGATCAGGTAACCAGTTAAAGTTTGATAAGTATGAATTTATGTATTACAATATATATTTCAACTATACAATATTTCATAATGTCATTACCACTAATCAAAACAATTTAATAACAATGAATACTTCCTTTTAAAAGATAGACATGTTGGCTCAAAAGAAGCCAATACTTCAGAAAGCAATGTTAATCTATTAGTAACAATACTAAGATTTTTCAGGGGAGAAAGAAGTAGCCAGCTATTTACTTTGTGAGAAGCTCAGCAGTCCTTGTATTGCCTCATATATGATTCTTGGTGAGTACACCAATTTTATTCCAGGTGAATGAACGATCTACTTTCAAAAAAATGCATTCTGAAGGCACAAATAGAAATCAGCATTAGTCGTACTGTTAGCATACTAAAAGTACATCTCTTTTGGTATTTAGGTCCAGCCTTTGGCAAGCTTCCTGATCTACTACTAGCACTTGGAATTTGTTGCATGAATTGGTACTTTTTTTTTTTTTTAATGAAAACATTAGAGAACAAACACAAAGCAAAAATTTTAAAAGTCTGACTGTATGCAAGCAATATAACCTGATTTTTATACCAATCAGAAAAAATTTTTAAGAGGACTGGAAGAAGTTCATGTAGTTAAACAACAGAATAAAGAAAAGTTTTAGAAATAAAAGACATCTTTCAAGTGAAGATTCTGTCCCAATGATAAAACCAGGAAAGAGCCTAAGTTCTGGCATTAACAAAGGCAGGCTAAAAAAATCCCTCACCTATAAAAATAATAATGAAGCTTTTCTTTTTTTTTTTCCCCAGAAGAAAATATAGCAAGCCATGGTAGGCAAGACATAATACAATGTCTTAGAAGGACTTAAAAGGCCTATATACTAGAGGCATCATTAATGCATATTTTTAAAACATGTCACAAGCAGACAGAAAGCTGGTAGTATGCTGGTAGAGCTGACAGATAACAGAGCAATAAAAGGAGCTTTCAAAGAAGATAAGGCTGCAGCAGAGAAGTTTAAAGTGGTTTGTACCTATATTTATTGCAGAAGAGGTTAGAGAGTTTTCCATGCTGGATGCAGTATTTGTTGGT